TGCATGCACATACATGTGTTTGAATCCTTATTATGTGCAAGACTAGTTGCTATTTTCTATGTTATTTTCTACTCCATTTCACTTGTAAAATGCTGGTGGAATGATTTCTTGATGGGTCATGGCCTGGGATGTAAAACTACTGATCAGTATCCAAGGATACAGCAAAAGCTCTAAATATATATCTTACAGCTAAATTCTAACAGAAAAACATTATTCATCATGAATCTTTACTTTCTGCGGTTTATCAGTCTTTAGAAAAGGACTTGTTCGAGAAAAATAATTCCAGGGTTTGACTTATAACAATTAAACCACTACTACTGTTTCCTTGTCTCTTTGACTCCATATCCTTCTTCAGCCCAGCATCCATCTGAATTTCACTAAAATAAGAATCTCACAAAAGCTCAGAATTGTAGTCCCATATCAATTCTCCATTCAAATTTCCTCATAAGTTAATAATCGCAAGGTTTAATAAGCAAAAGTGTGAAGGTTTCACCCTGTTTCAAAGGAAGAATCAGAATTCACAGCAGAAACACTGGGAGATGACATTGTCTTAGTCCAAGAAATAATTTCATAACAGTTAGAATCACCTTGGTGAAGAAAACTGGTTGTTTTAGTAGCACTGATCTTTATGTCAGTGAATGCTTTAACTCAGAGATTTGGATGCCCATGTCATGGGAGAAGTCGAGCAAGAACAATGCTGAGGTCTCTTCCAACTATAGGATTCATTGGCCCTAAGTATAGAAAAAGGTGTTAGCCATTATGGTTCCAGCTTTGTTGCCACATTTCAGGGGAAAAGGGTCAAGGGGTTGCAGGAACAATTATAAAGGACACATGAACAATAATGTCGGGGGGCACAGGGGAGGGAACTGGGGAGAAAGCTGGGGAGGGCTGGGGTGCAGAAAAAAGGCATAAAACTGTTCTTGAACAACAATAAAAAATTGAAAAAGGAAAGAAAAAGAAATTCCTTGGAGTGACAAGTTTCTTAAAAGGACTCAAAAGATAAAAATTCTCCTATCCAAATAACTCACGAAATGGAAGTTCACTTTCAAAAATAAAACCTTCAGGACACTCTATTGTAATAAACCCCTTTTGTGGTTAACTTGATCCATTATTTCATGAAAACATGGCTGAATTTCATGCGACAATGGAAACACTTTCAAGAAAGTCCCTCACACAGCTAATGCAGCTTATCATTTAAACAACGAATTTTGCACTAAATGTATCAAAGTAAATGATCCACATTAGGTGTCTCCAAATTACATGGTGACTTGAATGATCCTATTACATAAGTCTACACATAGCAAACACCTGGCACAGACAGAGAATAACAATTCCCTTCTGCACTCTGATTTTTCATCACAGCCTGTCTGAAATTGAGTAGTGAACACAGACTGGACAACACACAAAACTCACCACAGACTTACAGCTAAAATTAGAACCAGCTGAATGTGACTTGGGTTGAGCAAAAACACATTAATAAGGAGAATAGTATCTGCGACATAGTGTGGAAATTGCCATCTCATAAGATCTCTTAGGAGAAATGGTGCCCAAACAAGAAGAGATGGTTTATTCTCTGCTCAGCTCCACCACCTCTCAATATACTGCTGAGTGTTTGGTGTAGGGAGGGAGAAGGACCCGCCAGGCACACTGCCATCAGCTCCCGTCCAGGGGAAAGGGGCCCCACAGGGACTCATCTCTGCTGTTCTCCACAGGGACTCTTGTGGCAAGACGGTGGCTATGATGATTCCGTCACTCACTGTGGGGTGCATGTTCATCCACTTAGAAGCTCTAGAATGATTTCTGGGACTCCTTCACACATCACAATGACCACACCTTGCACTCACTATGGCTGGAGAACACAGTTTGCCCACCTACTAACCTTCCAAATAGAGCAGGTGGTACACGGGGCAGCTGGGGTTCATAGGTTTTTCCCATCTTCTAGTCTTGGTTGAGTTTCTTCTCACACCTGACTGGAACATGTATCCTGTGTATTTTTTCATTTGGAATCATACAGGAATCTAACAGGGAACAGAAGCCGTGCTGGTACATACAACAGTAGAGAGACCTTCATATAACCAAATGGCTAAAAGGATACTGGGGAACTACACAGGAAAAAAACAGCTGTCAGGTAAAGAAGGACTGCGTGAAGCTGCCATCCCTGGGGATCAAGGGCATAGAGCAAAGGTTGGGTGATTAGAATCCGGAAGTTCCCAGAACTTGGTGTCCGGACTTAACAGTATGAAGAGAAGGGGTGCTCCAGTTGCTTGTGGTCCCAGCCAGGAATGACAAGGCTGGTTCTGGGACTCTGAGTACCTAAGGCTGGGCAGGGGGCCTCTGCTGCCACTGCCAGGAGCTGTTGGGGACAAGGCTGACAAGAGCAGCGGGCAGACAGGAAGGTACAAGGTCCTTTTCCCTGCTCCAGGCTCCCAGTCTGCTTTAGAGCTCCCTGCCTACACAACACAAGCAATTGGAAGCCACTAAAATCAATAATCTGTCCTGGCTGGTTGGCTCAGTAGGTTGAAGGATTGTCCCACAAACAGAAAGTTCCCAGGTTCGATCCTGGTCAGGGCCCATATATACCTAGGTTGGGGGTTTGGTCCCAGTCAGTGCACATACAGGAGGCAACCAATGGATGTTTCTCACATTTATGTTTCTCTGCCTCTCTCCGTCCCATCCCCTCTCTCTAAAAATTCAGTAAGCATGTCACTGGGTGAGGATTAAAAATAAAAATTCAGTAGTCTAAATGTGCAAATTTGATTAGGAAAAGTTGTAAGCTGGATACCAGATGCTGGGGTCTCAAGTTTATCAATAAAGGACAAACTTCACATCATTCAGACTGAGAGTTCATACAAGACAGACACAAGAATTGCTTAAAAACACTAACTGGAAGACGAGGTTCAGCTGTGATGCACAGAGAGGTTTGCTGATTCCTTACCTTGAAGGGAACGTGCCAGCTAGTCACAGGCAGCCCTGTGAGCCCCAGGCCCTCCCTCTAAGGTCCAGTCTGCGTCACACTGACAGTGCACAGGGGCAGAGGAGACCTGTGCTGCTGGATAAGGGTTGATGACCAGAGGGAAGGAGGGCTGGGCAGTGACAGCAACTCAGTAAAAGTCCGACAGTTGCTACTCTCTGGTACGTGCACGCATAAAACAGACTGATAACAGGACGTTCTGCATGGACTGGTTACGGTGGCTGGAGGAGATGTTGTGTGTTAGGTGCTATCGATGTGTAGCACACAGCACTGGGTGAGGGACTGACAAACACGTTAGCTGTTATGATAAGAGCCCATCTGCTCTTCATATTCAGTGAGCTCTGCTGCCCACAGCAGGTAAGTAAGAGTTGAGTGGCTTTTTAAAATGATCCTTTATCCTGTAGTATTTAAATAGAAACAGGGATGAAATTCGAGAGTTTTTCTTACATCTTATGAACTTTAGTAGGTGAATTTATTTGTATTTTCTTAATTTCCAAGTATATCTTCATTTAAGTATAGTTGGTGTACAGACTAGTACTGGTTAGATTATCTCAGGCGGAAACAGTTATTTGACATTTCCAAACTTTCCTACAGCATAAAAGATAATTTTTAAAAGGCATAAACAGTCATCATCTTACCACCCTACAACCATTACTACAGTATTTTATGTCATAGTATTCTCTATTGAGTGTGTAAATCTACCATAATTGCAATTATAGACCATTTGCAGTTACTGGTTCACATTCTTGTTTTAAATTTTATAACTCCTATGTATCTGTAAAATCTCTACAGTCATCATTTTAATGACTGCATAAATAGCTCATGGAGTTAAAGTGGAATAATTGATCAATTTCTCATTACGTTGAATATGAGTTTAAAACTTTCCTATTAAAGAAATTTTAGAGGGAAAAAAGAGTCACATTGAGTAATTATTTCTCCCCAAGAGAAGGGCACACACTGACTCTTCTGATCAAGTCCCCTGCTCACTCTCAGTGTGAGATGGAGAAAGACTCTGGAAGCAAGTGGCCAACCTCACCTCAAAGTGGGTTAGAAGGTACAGTTTATGGCAACACCCTCAGAGGTCACCTAAAGTCCGTGGGACCCATGCCCGACCACTGTGTTTGAGAAGTAGAAGGAATCAGTAAAAGTCAAACTGCCACCAAGGCAGGAGAGCCAGCCACACTCTACTAGTCACCTACAGTCTGGTAAAATGTCCTGTGTCAGGATATGCATTCTCATGAGGGAAATGACACAGACCTGGACTAACCAGGTGAAAGTGCTGGTGAAAGACACTGGAGAACATGGAAACAGTCTGTACATCTACATGATTCACAGCCCAACACTCAAAAGTTCCTGGGGACCACACACAGCCCAAATTGTTTCTCTGAGACCCAACGCCCAGCTGTGCCCTTTGCCAGTTACTGGCTCAGCAGCTTGCCCCCAAGGCTGTAAACAGTGAGCTGGGTTCCAACACTGTCTGCAGTTTCTCCTTCTCCCCTTCCCCCTACACGCCCTGTGTTAATTCTGTTCCTTCACTCAGCCTGCTGGTTCACTCCCCAGTAGAGGTCTGTAATTTTCATATGAAATATCTCTGCATCATGCAACTAGAGCTCCCTGAGATGGTTTATAAGTGGCAAGTACAACCTGGGAGAACGGACAAGAGGCCTTTTGGGTTTGCAGGACCACTTCCTTCCACTGCAGCTTTTTCTTCCTTCCCAAATCCTATGACACATGGGGTTACTGAGTTTACACAGTTAGGGTACAGATGGAGATAGACTATATTCAACCTTTGGGACCCACAATAGGGATAATATAACTTTTAATTTCACAGATATTCAATTCAATGAACAATTAAAGAAAAAATTATATCCGATTAACAAAAATCAATGAGTATAAACTATAGAAAGCTTCCTTCAGAGAAAGAGGGAAAGTCTGATCTCACATCATGAAGAACCACAGCAGAAGGGAGCAGCAGTGAGCTTCTCTGGATTCAGGTGGTAGCTGAGCACTTGGGCTGGGGATTCAAATGTCACTCCAATTGGAAATGACTCTCCTCACACAGTGCTCTCTGCAGGGCACCCTTGACATCTGCGTTCCTTAGGCTGTAGATCAGCTGGTTCACCTTGGGGCTGAAAAGGGTGAACAGGAGAGGGATGTCCTGCTGCTCCTTGGGGTGGCGTGATTTTTGGGGGGGCCTTAGACATGATTATGGTGCTTTGACAAGACAGCATTACCACAGAGAGTTAGGAGGAACCAGTACAGAAGGCCTTCCTGCAGCCCTCCCCAGACTGGATCCTCAGGAGGGCAAAGGGGATGCACGTGGAGGACACCAGCACCAAGCACAGGGGCCCCACGAAGATAAAAGTTCATAAGTAGCCGACCAGTTGGCCCAAGTCACCCGGATGTGTTCAGTCTAGATGGATGGCCACAATGACCAGGAATCCAGAGCCCTGGTCAGGAGGACCTCTAATTAGCCCCTGTGGCTCTGACTCTAGGTTCACTGCTCACCCATTAGGTGATAAATTATCTTCCAGGGTGGATACTTCTACAGCAAAGGTCAGCACACTTCCTTGCTCATTATGCTGTTGCATTTCCAACTTTATGTAAATGAACATTTATGTATCCTGGCTTATGCATCATCCCATGGTGCTTTGGAGGACAAGATGCAGTCCCTGAAGAAAATTTCCAAAATGGATCTAAACGCTGAAAGCCAGACCCACAACCAATTTAAGGTCATTGAAGCATGACTCAGGAATAGGAATGAATCCCTTCCCAACAGCAAGAGATGAGGTGCTTTTTTTTTTTTTAATAACTACTGTTGATAAACTGTGAGATCACCTGGACAAAAAAGAAATCTAAAGCATGGATCAGAAATTCCTCACACAAGGCCTGAAACGCCCAAGCAAGTTGATGGTGATGAGCTCTAGGAAGATCTTACTGTGAAAACATGCTTCGGGAGAAAGGGCAGGATAAATTAAAAGGTGCCCATTCAACATAAAATCCTACAAAGAGAAAATTTAAACTATGATGGACCATCTCAGCCTTCCTTCGACTCACTCTGCCAAAACCTAACATCTTGGTTTCTTATCTGTACTCTCTCCATCCCCACCACAAAAATGTAGCCTCTGAACCGAAGGAATCAAATGTATTTAGAGAGCACATGCTAGCCACCTGACCCTGTCCTTAATGCTATGCAGGGTGAGGCACACAGGTTGACATAGAGTTAGTACTCTTTTGGCTTCACATTCTATTCAGTAAATATGTTGTCATACTCACTAGGAACTGTGAGGACACTGATAATAAGTAAATGCATATTTTACACAATAACCAATATGTTAATTTTCCTCAAGTAGAACTTCACTCCATAATATACTCCACTACAATTTCCTTTGGCTGGGGAAATTATTCCATCTAATTCATAACAAAGAAATTTCTTCTTTTCCAAGTTTTATCTTTTTCAAGTAAATCTCTTATCCCATGGAGAATTCTTCACCAATAAAAATTCACCAAATCTTGAATACCTTTAGATAATTGGTATATAAAATACACATCTAGTTAGAATCTCTAGTAAAAAGATGAAAACAAGGCCATGGTGTACAACTGTACCTCATTCTTTACTTACAGGGGAAGATGTTAGCCTTTCATCATTAGGTACTATGTTTGCTGTGTTTTCTTTTCTTTTTCTCCATAGATCCTCTTTAGAAATGCTTATTCTTTGTTATTACTAGCATGTAAAGAATTTCATCCTGAGTTAATGTTAAATTTTGTCAAACACTTTATTACATCTACTGATATGTATCTTTAATTTGTTAATGTGGCAAATTATGTTCATTGTTTTAACATTAAACAATTCTAGCATGCAGGGAATAAAAACTTTTTAAAAACATAAAATTATTTTATTTCATAGACTTCTTCTACTCATATATTCTTTAAGTCATTTGCATCTCTTTGATAAATAGGTTTAGACTGATTTTCAGTTTCACAATCTATCTCAGGTTTGGTATCAATGACATAAACAGGAAGAGGAATTATTTTCTCATTTTCCAACAAGTCCAAAGACAAAGAGTCCTGGGTTGGTTAAACTAAAAGATTCAAAAGGGCATTCAAGATCCCCACATGAGGAGGACCAGCTCGCACACTCAAAATACTCCCAACCATCCCTCCCAGTAACCTCCTCCTAGCCAGAAACCTCCACAGGGCACCCTTGACCTCTGAGTTCCTCAGGCTGTAGAACAGCGGCTTCAGCATGAGGTCAAAAAGGCTGTAAAACAATGCCATCATCTTCCTTTGTTCTTGAAAGTGGGGGATTTGGGGACCAAGTATATGTCAATGGCACAGCCAAAGAAAATCCCGACCACACGCAGGTGGGAGGAGCAGGTGGAGAAGGCCTTCCTGCAGCCCTCCCCAGACTGGATCCTCAGGATGGCCCAGAGGATGCGTGTGTAGGAGACGAGCACCAAGCACAGGGGCCCCACTAAAACAATCACAGAGCCCACAAAGAGGACAAGTTCATTGAGCCTGGTGTCAGCACAGGCCAATCTGAACACTGGCAGGATTGGACAGAAGAAGTGGTTGATTTTCTGAGGCCCACAAAAGGGCAGCCTCAGGAGGAGAGTAATGTGGACCAGAGCCAGGAGGAAGCTAAACAACCAGGACATGGCGGCCAGGATGGTGCACACTCTCCAGCTCATGATGACAGAGTACTGGAGGGGGTGGCAGATGGCCACATACCGATCATAGGACATCACCAGCAAACACGTGCACTCTGTGACAGCATGTATCAAATACATGGAAGTCTGAAGGATGCATGCACCAAAGGCGATGGTTTTCCTGTGCATCATCAGATTTGCCAGCATCTTAGGAACAGTGCTTGAGGCATATGACATGTCAACAATGGCCAGGTTTGAGAGGAAGAAGTACATGGGGGTGTGTAGGTGGGAGTCCACGCAGATAAGCCCCAGGATGACCCCATTGCCCAGCAGGGTGACACTGTAGAATAGCAGGAAGAACCCAAAGAGGAAAACTTCAAGTTCTGGGTCAACCTGGAAGCCCAGCAGGATAACTCCTGTGATCCATGTCTGATTGTTTCCCATTTTCTTATGACTGGTGGATACAAGGCTGCCCTTAGGACAGAAACTTCACAGCTGAAAAGCAGAAAAGGAGAAAAGAAATGGTATGCTCACATAGAGTGAGAATTTATGCCCAAAGCCACAAATCAGTAAGTCATGGATTCAGTCCCGCCCACGGTCCTGTGATGCTGATCTGCAAATTTGGCTTTAGAGATATTTAGAAACTTTAGATGTTAGCCAATATTAAAAACTGAGAGATTTCACAGAAAAGTTAGGGTCTATGTCTTCCACGAAATAAATAGAAGATTTGATACTCTTGGAATATATTGTAAACAATAATCAGCTGAAGCTAATGAAGAGAGACAAGACAGATGCCTTTTCACTTACCACAACTTCTAGGAATCTCTGTTTTCTCCCAGAAATTGAAGGGGAGTGACACTTAATTTTATCACGGCACTTACACGATTGGTTGTGTTCCACATTTTTAAGAAAAGATTGATGCTCAAAGGGAGTTCTTTAGTTCTCCTGTACTTGAAACTCATGAACACGAAAGATCAAAATATAAAATGCAAACCCTCCACTACACAGCCAGAGTTTCAAATGGGACAATTCTTTCATATACCTGGAACGAATGAGAAACACGACATGCTCCATCATGAAAGCAGAGTGTCATACCTGGAACTCAGCTTGTGTGGAGTCCAGGAAAGATGTGGGAGGTGGGGCACAAACACGGTTCCCCAAACCCAAGCACCTGGGCTGGGGCTCACACACATACAAGGATACACTTTTGAAAGTGCCATTTAGAGACCCAAATACTAGATTGAGAGACTAAACTTATATACTATAAAGTTCCTAGAGCAAAAGATAAAGAGAATGGTAAAGAAACATTATTTGAAGAGACTTATCCAAAAACATTACAAAATTGAAAGCATTTACAAAATTAAAGTCCTTAATTTGCAAAAAAAAATGTATTTAATGAGTGCAATAAAAGAAGATAAATGTACACTCAAGACTTTTTATAACTAAAGAGAACATAAATCTTTAAGTAAAAAATGTACTCTGAGGATGGAAGAACACAAATAAAAAATAAATTTTCAGTGAATGGAATTTCTTAACAATGATCTCTTTGACTATTGTCTTTCTTCCATTCCCTACATTTCACTGTGTCTACACTTCCTGCAACACCTATTCAAACAGTGATGCAGTCAATGAACCTATCTCATGTCTCTTGATTAATTACCCTTTCAGATTGTTTTCTCTTTTGCTGTCTTCATGCTGTTCTAGACGTTTCACAACTATATTCTAATTGTACAGTTATTCTATGACTGACACCTGGTTGACATTTGTCTCATCTGCCTAGCTTAAAAAACATTTTAAAATAACTTTATTTTTGCTTTCTAAGATTTTTAAGCAGATTCTTTTCATGTCTATTGTTTTGTTTGATCCCTTAGAATCCCTTTACTGTTTCATCAGTGTAATGGTATTTCATAGAAGCTGGAATTTAATTTGCCTCTTAAGCACTCTTTGTTCACTGTTTTACATAATCTATATTTTTCAGCATTAGGAGGAAAATTAAAAGTTAACAAAGGTAGAATACAATTACATTCACAGAAACAACCACCCAGCTGATGGTGACTTCTCGTCAGTAGGAAAGGGTCTGAAGGCAATCAGATACTGTCTTCAGTGTTCCAAGAAGGGGTAAGCTGCTGTTCTACAGTTTGATATCGTCAAGAACACTCCTGAGTGCATGAGAGCAAAGTGAGACATTATTAAATATGTAAATATGGAGGTATGAGGACCTACAGATCCTCCATGTACAAATAAAGTGTATTCCTCAACACGAATCCCACAGGTAGAGCAATATATGAAAACAATATAGAAACATAATTTGAAAACTATCTTGGCAAACTTTATAACTATTGACCTAAAATTGATGTGTGGGTCACCGGCCAGCAGTGATCACGGAGCGCTGCGGATGGCTCATCGAAATGCGAGAAAAACATACACAGAGACAACGAGGTCCTGTGGGGGAATAGGAACAGCAGGGCCACTCCTTACGTGGGAAGCGTGCCTGCCGCTTGGCCACCCTCCCTGATGGGGAGAGCGCCCCGTTCCCCCTCTGGAGAGACTTTTTATTGGTTTCATTTGCATAAGAATTCAGGTAAAAAGCTCATTACTCATTGCTAGGAAGTAAGGATCAAACAATAGATAACAAGGAAGTCTGAGGGCCTATTTTGAGTCAGGATCAAAGAGCTGTAAAACTTTGAGGAACAAACTAACTTCCTCCTTGGACCCTTCTCATTCAACTGAGAACATTCTAAACAAAGGAGGTTTCACAGGAATTTACATGTTCTTTCTTAGGCCTGATCACCCGGGGTATCCGTCCTTTTCAGCACAGAGCTGCACCACCCTGTCATTGTTTCAGGCTTAGGTGGAGCAAGGGAACCCAGGCAACCAAGAGATAAGGAGATTTTCTCCCAGATGATGAGGACTCAGGCTATGTCAAAGCCGAGGAGTGAGGGTCCATCACCCCCTTTTGCTGTAGCCTCCAAAGTCCTTTCTTGGGGGCCTCCCACATGATCATGCCTGTCTTAGATCGTTCCCCCCTTGGGGAATCTTACCCGTCTTTGACTAACCAACCAAGCTTTGGGGTTCAGTTATGAATGAAGCAGCAGAAGCAGCAGAAGCAGCACTCCTGCCAGGGAGATAAGCTTTTGTCTCCTTGCTGGCTTACGGTTCCAAGGGCGTTCCCTCAGCCTTAGCCTGGGGGAGGTGCAGCGAGGTTACAGCTTCTGATACCAGGCAGGGCGGTTCCCAGCATAAAATAATTATTGTGGTATTTTAAAAAAATAAAATTAAACATTTTGGAATTAATAAGTAAACAGAGGAAGAGACATCTGATCGGTAGAGACTGCTAAGACTCTTGATGAGAACTGGAACCCCGAGTGACTTTACATTTGTTAGTGTAATTTCTCTACTGGGATGTTACCACTTCATATACCTCATCAAAAATAGACATAGAAAATATAGTTTTCAAAATTACATGACAAGTGAAAGAAACTATAAGCATTATTAAGTCAAAAGCTAGCAGAAAGCAACAAAGGATAAATAAAGAGGTAACTAAATTTTCCGATAGGAAACACCAAAGAGCTGGTATTAATAAATATATGTATAGCAATTACCACACTAATGTAAGACACTAAAACACAGAGATAATCAGAATATGAGAAAAAAAATCAAGGTACAAAATCTTTACAAAAAGGACACCTGAAATACCTAAATTCCCCCTTTCATCCTCTCTCCCTCTCTCTCTCTCTCTGTCTCTGTCTCACACACACACACGCACACACACCCAAAATTTAAAGATGAAATTACAAAAAACATGTCTAGTCATAAAAAAAACTGGTAGTAGCATTACTGATATCACTTAAAAGCATTTATAGCCATATGGGAGCTTCTATACAATAATAATAAAAGGAACATTCCACCAAAAAGAAAAGTCAGAAGGTAGTGCCTACAAATTTTAATTACAAACAGATTCTTTTAATCACTTTGTCCCCTGAATCTTCAGAAACATTACATTTAATGGTGAGATATTAAAAGCTTTCTCTCTAAGTTAGAAAATGTACTCCACTAACACAATTTCTATTGAATGTTGCCTCAGTAACTAGTCAGCAAGAAGACAAAGAGAAGTAAAAAGGCCATTAGAATTGAAATGTAGAATATAAAATGTCATGATTCACAAAATACAATTACCTACCTGGGAAAAGCTTCCATAGTGAACTACTGAAATTCACAGGCAAATTTATAAAAACTCTGAATTGAAGGTCAAAATGCAAAATGAAAAATGTACATATGACAAAGGATTAGAAAATTTGTACAGATGCAAAATCTTTCCAAACTGTCCTATACACTCAATAAAATTCAAGTCAGATTCCTAGCAGTTGTTTTTATCATGTAGAAATTCATAATTTTTATAAATATCACATATGAAAATGCAATAAGTCAAGGATAGCCAATAGACCTTGAGAAGAAAGAATGAAGGAAGAGGACTTAAACTACTCACTAGTAACATTTACCACAAAACCAACATGATTAAATCACTGGGGAACTGGGGCAAATGTAAACCAATAAAGCAACACAACAGCTTGGGTGACTCCAAAGTTCAGACACACAAAGGCGGTACCAGTGTTTTCAGTGAAGTCCCCGAGGTCCGTTTGATATCCGTGGAGAAAACTCAAACCTGGCCACCACACATGAGGCCCGAGATAAATTTCAGGTGGGCTTTCATTCTAGTATGAAAGATAAACACCCCTCCAGGTTACACACCAGGGGGTCCCAGAGCAGCAGCATTTCTCAGAGATCCAGACAAAGAATAGAATGTCTCATGACAACCTTGCATGCACAGGCTAGCTTCTCTCACATTAGTTTCTCTGCTTTTAAAATTTAAGAACAACATATTTTCAGTTCAGCATCTTTAGTTTTAACACCACTTCTCAAACTGACTTAAAATGTAAAGACAGTAAGAATGCACTCACATTTATAATTTTGTATACAGCTCATGTTTTCATGGATTACTATGCAAAGTAGAGAAGTGAAGCAGAGAAGTTGTTTTCCTAGTAGAACCAATTTATCATACTCCACCAGCTAATACTTTTCCTAAACTCTGATGAGTGGCAATGGCAGCCACATAATCCCATTCTAGGATCTGGCAATGAGTCTCCCTGGGATCAGGACGGCCAGTCACAGACAGCAAGCCTGAAACACTGAATCAGAAAAAGCAAATCAGGTGTCTGTACCAGTTTCACTGAAACAAGAAAAATACAATGAGAGTTTTTATCAAATTCCTGTAGGATGTTCTGGTGGCCACGTGTCAACACTTCTGAATGGGGCAGCAAACAAAAGGAGGTTTTTTCTAAGAGATGGTAGCAGCAGATGATTGTCAGCTAGGAGGACAAGAAGGAGAAATTGTGTAACAGCTCCAGCTTCACCTTCCACTGTAAAAGGAGGCAACAGTATTAGAT